AGTGGGTCGGATGCCTCCCTTATTACGGAAGATGTAGCTAAAACGTTGAATTTAGAAGGAGAGCCTAAGACGATTTCGTTGAGAACGTTGGATAACCATTCCACAATTCAGTGTAAAGAGGTTCAACTAGAGGTTTCATCCTTAGACTCGTCTTCGTCATTTAGAATCCCAAACGTATGGACAGTCGAGAGATTACCTATGTTGCGCAGGACGGTACCAACGACGTCTCAAATGAAATCCTGGACGCATTTAAAAGACATAAGTTTTCCTAGAGTAGAGGATGAGAATGTCGAACTGTTGATCGGGTGCAATGCACCGAGTGTACACGAAATGAAAGAGGTAAGAACTGGAAAGCCGAATGAACCATTCGCCGTGAAGACTCTGTTAGGTTGGACGCTGTTCGGTTCCTATGGGGAACCCTGTAAAAACAATCGTGTACTCAATCACCTCTCAGCTAAAGAGGAATTAGAGGATAAGTTTGAACAATCGTATTCAACTGAATTCAAAGACCGACTTAGTCGTACTTCATCGATGTCTGTGGAGGATCGTATAGCATCATCAGAATCTGCATATGGTGTCGCGGGGTATACTCGTTCCGAACATGTCTCTCGTCAAGTTCATTGTTCGTTTTTATTAACTAAGTATAAGGTTGTTAAGCCAAAAACTGAAGCATCATCTGCTAATAAATCCAAATCAAGTCTAAGGAAGCTTAAGGAAAAGGACATCAAACTGAAAGTGAAGACTACGAAAAAGCCGAAGACCACTGTAACGAAGAAGCCAGTTACTAAAACCCTGAAGAAGCAGGTAGCACATATTCGCCGTGGTATCGAGGATGGTGTTGAGAAAGGCGCCCTTGTACGAGTTGTGAACAAGAGTAAGGGTGCATCTGGTAGTTCTATAGGATCCAATGCTATTCTTAGACAGATCATGGGTAGTTGGAATCAGAATAAGACAGTAAATGCCCTTTTAGAGAGAGGTTGTGAATGGCGCTTTAAACTTCCGAGGTCTAGTCAACGAGACGGTGTATGGGGACGCATCATAAAGTCGATAAGAAGAATTCTGCGATCACTATAGTTTCGGAAGGTATTGATGGATGAGTCTTCGAGAGACTTAGTGTTATTAAACAATGTTGGCTCACTGAGAAGTCTATGGTCCAAAGCTATTGTCGAACAAGTAAGCTATGGCTTTGACGGACGAGTTCGTACGGCAAAATTGAGAACCTCAAACGAAGAAACTGCTCGGGACGTACGACGCTTACGTCTACTAGAAGGAGCCGGCTGTCTGACGGCGACGACGACCCTGGACAACAGACGTGGTGCGCGTTTCGGGGGGAGTGTAAAATGTGATTGATAGACGAAACTACCAATAATAAGGGAAACGCCCACCACCACATCAACTCCTTTTGACCTTGTACGACTGTATCTCTTTATTAACCAATCACAGTTTAATGTTCATTGTAAAACAATATTGGCTTGTTGACTCATTTTTCCTATTCTCTAGCTACTGTTCGGTATGTTATTTGTCTCTGTTTTTCCCTGTATTAATAGACCGTACTGTTTGTTTGTACGCTAACGATGTTAATTTATGTTTTAGAAACAGATAAAGTTTATATAGCCAAATAGCTTACTTGTTCTGACTTTGGCTAAACCAAGACTCTGTAATCGACAGTCTAGAGATTAGCTTAGAGTTGAATCTGTGAGAAATTGTTTCCTACAAAGTTTCGAACAGTACATTCGATATACCTACTGAAATGACTTCCAATAAACACTACGATTCCGATGAGATTCCAGAATTATCACCACATCATTCAGGAGTTTATGACGAGGATCAACTTGGAAAGAACGAACTCAAAAACAACAGCATGATAGGACTAGAGTTAGCTAGGTTGCGCATAACTCAGTTAGAAAAGGAAATTGAACTAGAAAAATTACGCTGCCAGAGATGCGAAGGTTCCGGCCAATCAGTAAGCAACAGTGAGAATACAATATTAAAAAATCTGTATTTACCAAAAAGAGAAGTCATAAGGTTTGATGGTACACCGACAAATTATTGGAATCTCACTAGAAATTTCGAAGAATGCATTGGGAGTGAGAATATTGAATTTAGAGCTAAGCTAAATTACTTGATTCAATATTGTGACGGAGAAGCGAAAGCCGCTATCCTTCATTGTACTATACTAGAACCAGAGATAGGTTACCATCAAGCCCTAAAGCTTTTAGAAGAAACGTTTGGCCAAAAACACGTCGTAGCACGCACGTTTATCGATAATTTGTTAAACTTCCCCAATATAAGGAGAAATCAACCAGATGGTTTGAGAAGACTATCTCGAGAAATGCAAGCATGTAGTTTGACTCTCGAACAGATGAATTACGTCCCTCGTTTGAACTCTTCTAGAACTATTGAAACTATGGTTCTGAAATTACCAACGCACATTCAACAAGAGTGGCTAAAGGTAGCTTATAAGATTATCAGAGAAGGCAGAGAGCCTCTGTTTACCGATCTTGTTGATTTTTTAAAGGAGCAAGCTGATATAGCTAATACTACATACGGCCTACTCGTCAACCGCGGTAGTAATAGTGACAATAGAGATGTTGACGTTTTAAAAAGGAAAATTAGTACAGATTACAATGCAGCAAGAATATCTTATGCGAGTGCTAGTGATGATAATGCTCTCTTACGCAGTTCATCTTGTTTGGAGTGCTCCAGTAATCATTCTTTAGATCAATGTCAGAAATTTAAAGACAAGAATGTTAGAGAAAGGAAGGAATTCGTTCTTAGACACAAGTTGTGTAATGTATGCCTGAAGGCAAACCACGTAGCAAAAAACTGTCGATCGCCGAGGTCGTGTGCTGTCGAAGGGTGTGGCTGGAGACACCATACCCTGTTACATGAGTTGCGGGAAGAACCAAGGAATACTAATATTGATGCACACATTAACACCCAGCTATGTACGGAGAAAAGTGTTGAGAGCGTACAGAAACAAGCAGCATTCGCAATAGTGCCTGTACTGGTAAGAAATGGAGAAAAGGTAGCACAGACTTGCACCTTCTTAGATAGTGGGTCGGATGCCTCCCTTATTACGGAAGATGTAGCTAAAACGTTGAATTTAGAAGGAGAGCCTAAGACGATTTCGTTGAGAACGTTGGATAACCATTCCACAATTCAGTGTAAAGAGGTTCAACTAGAGGTTTCATCCTTAGACTCGTCTTCGTCATTTAGAATCCCAAACGTATGGACAGTCGAGAGATTACCTATGTTGCGCAGGACGGTACCAACGACGTCTCAAATGAAATCCTGGACGCATTTAAAAGACATAAGTTTTCCTAGAGTAGAGGATGAGAATGTCGAACTGTTGATCGGGTGCAATGCACCGAGTGTACACGAAATGAAAGAGGTAAGAACTGGAAAGCCGAATGAACCATTCGCCGTGAAGACTCTGTTAGGTTGGACGCTGTTCGGTTCCTATGGGGAACCCTGTAAAAACAATCGTGTACTCAATCACCTCTCAGCTAAAGAGGAATTAGAGGATAAGTTTGAACAATCGTATTCAACTGAATTCAAAGACCGACTTAGTCGTACTTCATCGATGTCTGTGGAGGATCGTATAGCATCATCAGAATCTGCATATGGTGTCGCGGGGTATACTCGTTCCGAACATGTCTCTCGTCAAGTTCATTGTTCGTTTTTATTAACTAAGTATAAGGTTGTTAAGCCAAAAACTGAAGCATCATCTGCTAATAAATCCAAATCAAGTCTAAGGAAGCTTAAGGAAAAGGACATCAAACTGAAAGTGAAGACTACGAAAAAGCCGAAGACCACTGTAACGAAGAAGCCAGTTACTAAAACCCTGAAGAAGCAGGTAGCACATATTCGCCGTGGTATCGAGGATGGTGTTGAGAAAGGCGCCCTTGTACGAGTTGTGAACAAGAGTAAGGGTGCATCTGGTAGTTCTATAGGATCCAATGCTATTCTTAGACAGATCATGGGTAGTTGGAATCAGAATAAGACAGTAAATGCCCTTTTAGAGAGAGGTTGTGAATGGCGCTTTAAACTTCCGAGGTCTAGTCAACGAGACGGTGTATGGGGACGCATCATAAAGTCGATAAGAAGAATTCTGCGATCACTATAGTTTCGGAAGGTATTGATGGATGAGTCTTCGAGAGACTTAGTGTTATTAAACAATGTTGGCTCACTGAGAAGTCTATGGTCCAAAGCTATTGTCGAACAAGTAAGCTATGGCTTTGACGGACGAGTTCGTACGGCAAAATTGAGAACCTCAAACGAAGAAACTGCTCGGGACGTACGACGCTTACGTCTACTAGAAGGAGCCGGCTGTCTGACGGCGACGACGACCCTGGACAACAGACGTGGTGCGCGTTTCGGGGGGAGTGTAAAATGTGATTGATAGACGAACCCACCAATAATAAGGGAAACGCCCACCACATCAACTCCTTTTGACCTTGTACGACTGTATCTCTTTATTAACCAATCACAGTTTAATGTTCATTGTAAAACAATATTGGCTTGTTGACTCATTTTTCCTATTCTCTAGCTACTGTTCGGTATGTTATTTGTCTCTGTTTTTCCCTGTATTAATAGACCGTACTGTTTGTTTGTACGCTAACGATGTTAATTTATGTTTTAGAAACAGATAAAGTTTATATAGCCAAATAGCTTACTTGTTCTGACTTTGGCTAAACCAAGACTCTGTAATCGACAGTCTAGAGATTAGCTTAGAGTTGAATCTGTGAGAAATTGTTTCCTACAACCATTGAGGGTAACATGTTGAATTTTGGAAATGATACCATCGATTAAACGTTTACTTAACATGGAAACATGTTCATAATCATCCTGTATTGATTTGTAAATGCAAGCACAAGTTTGTATCGGTGAATTTATGTTTTGAAAAAATGATGGATATCCGAAAATTCAGGTATTAGTTACTAATAACACAGTACAAAAAAAGGTAATAAGTGAACAACAGATAAAAAGTTAAATAGCTAATTAGTATGGACGGAAATGTTTTCAAAAGACAACTGACAAGCTGTACATAACATTGTATTTGTTAATACAGTTGAGTTGACATAACCTCGTCTACTTACATTGATCATTTCAGACATAAGAAAATACTGTTGAGAAAAAGTAGAAATTATCCAGTTCTGCCACTGAACCAATTATTCAGGTGGAAGATGGGTAAAATTAAGCGAAAGTGAATATTAATATGTCGCTCTGATACATTCGTAAAAGTTCTTCCGGAAATAGAGCATTTTTAAGTCAGAGTAGGACAAATTATCTAAAGGTTCAACTAATGTTAGATTACAAAGTCCATTGTGGTGGTCGGTATCCGATATAATCCTTAACTTCGTGTACAGTTCGTCTTGCTAACCGTTCTATATAACGTCCCAACGGTATATTAATCAGAAGGCAAATACGAAGTGTTGATTACGTTTATTGCGAGACCACACACATATATCCAAAATTACCGATGCATTAACGAGCATTAAGAGTTGTGCCGAACAGCAAACAGGCAAGCAAGCGACTGAGCGAATATAAGTAATCGAGTACAATCAAACGAGCGAGAAAGCAGAGTCAGCCATATGAATAACATGGACATATATATAGCATGTGAAATTAATGAGTAATCGAATCAAATAAGCGGTTAGTAGTAAGACTAGCGGAGTGAATAAATGCGTAGGCCGTAAGCAATATTCAAGCATGCATATTTCATACAAGCACAAAATAATAATAAGGGTACAATAAATTGTTATAGTGCGGATGGCTTTGTCCGCTAAATAAGTTAGCAAAAGGGCTTAACTGAGTTAAATGAGAATAAACCCATTTGCACGTGAGTCGCTATACCATTCAATAGAGAGTATTCTTCACATGACATGAACAGTGCTACTTATATCGCATGCAATTAATATTAACGTTTTTAATCCTAAAAACAATTTCATATTATTATCGTTAAAGTTTCCCCAATGTTTTATTACTATGAATTCATGTGACTCTAAACAAAGTTATACACTTACAATCCCATGGGATAAAAATAAAAATACCAAATGAGTACATCATAATATTTGCTGCGATCCATAATAGTATGAATTATCACACAGAAAATAAAATTGACCTATCCACACTGCATACTTTTACAGCTTATACAGCACAGAAGAAACCAATTACAACCAGAAACATTTCAGATTACTGCATTAGTGATAATTTAGAAAGACTCAAAGTCAACTGGACTACATATTATGACCAGTTGAGGATAAGTGTTATTTACCTGGATGAACGATATGAAATACAATAAGTGGAAAGACAAAATACTGTAGTACTAGATCGAGGCTTACAATGTACATAAGACAGTCCGTTGGGATTGCCAATGCGTACTTTATGATACTGTGCTGGTTAACAGAGTTGCGCACATTATAATATGCGCAAGCATCAACTTCTGATCTAGTCATAATACTGAAATTAGTTATCGATTGTGAGATTGCGAGCAGGGATGAAGACTCTTTTGGGATATATATTCCACTATTCTAACTTCGATCAAGTATGTAATGAACATTTCATGTTTCTGTCAATAATAAGGGGAATATTGTGAAGGTAGAACTTTGGGGACTCCTATAAAGGACTATCGTTTATGTTTTTATTGCATGATAGTACCTAATATTATCCTGGTTGTAAGCTTTTATGTGGCACATCAGTTATAGTCCTTTGTTTACCTTACTAAATTTATGGTGAAATAATTATGGACCTAATACTTAGTCCCATTGCACTTAAGGGGTAGTTATGCACATATTGTGCTTTCTTATTTATGCTGATCTGCAGTGAAAATTAATGCATGCTATCACGCTACTTTGAGCTATGAATCGAACTCTACAGTGATTTATCTACCTCGTTATATTCTAGCTATCGGGCAAGTGAGCATAGAAAACAGTATCCTAGACCAATAAGCGTTAATTACTCATCTCGGTTGTTATCTCACTGTCATTGAGGAAATAGTCGAAGAAAGATCATTGTGTCGATGACTAACAAGTAATTAGTCCTATAAAGGCAATCTAGGTGAATAAATCAATAATCGGACTAGAGAATACAACTGCATAAAACAATGTTTTGTGTGGCGCATACATATTTGGCGCATTCTTGTACTAATATTTATGTGTTCAAATAAATAATAAATAAATAGAATACAACTGCTCCTACAATAGATGGCCCGAATGCACGAGCCCCAATACAACACAAGAAGCTGTCTTTTGGCTCCACATTAGTTTCGATAGTCAAACACTTAAATTCTCCTAAAAAACAGTGGTGGAGACTTCGCAACGGCCAAAAAATTGATGTTAAAAAAAGTGGTATCTATTTATTGTAAGAATATAACACAATTCTCATCCACTAGGGGAAAGACTCACGTCAGTAAAAAATACGAAATTAATAACACTCTAACTACCATTCTTTGAAAATCTACACAGAGCAAAATGAAACAATTTAAAAGACATCTTAAATGTCCTATGTTATGACGAATTTTGATCAATCTATCCATGTGCTCACTGTCCAGTGAATTTCGATATCTATAACGAATCGAAAGTTTGGAAGGAACATCAACTACTAAAATCCCCCAAAAACATATGATTTAAATAGCATTCAGATAATTTAGAAGATATGGCAAACTGTATTAGGTTATTCTGAAGTGAGACGACTATCGTGTACATTTCCAAAAAACAGCTTAGAAAATAAAGGTGATAGACACTAAAGTAGAAGCTTTTTGATAGATGAGTCCGAAATTGTGTCTATTATTGCACTTCCAAGTGTACTGGACGCAACAAAAACCGATTCACAGGAAATGGACTGGTTTTTGTTCAGGTTGTGGGTTTATTGAACACTTTTCACACTCCATCAAACCCTTAACCTCTTTGGATATTTCAAGCTGACAATCACTGTTTCCGGATGACATGACTGGTCTTGAATAGTTAGACACGGCCGTGGTTGGGAGCTATCTTAAAGAGGGGTGTCTGAAAATCTCATTAATACTTCGGAAGTCATTTACAAAAGTATCTCAGTGTTAGTGTTAGGTAGAATTACATGAAATCGTATCACCAATACTAGGGTGACTTACGTTAATCATGATAAATTAACTGAGTGACAGAAACCTTTAAAAGGTATTGGAAAAACTGATATTGAAAAGCAAGATCTCAGCCTAATAAAAGAAACAAAATGAATAACACTAATGATAAGTTATTTTTGTTTTTAGATGACAAGAAGTAAATAGTATTCTTTTTGAAAACTTACTTTCATTTCCTCGCTGGACAAACGGCTTGCTTCACCTAAGCCAACAACTAAGGCCGTAGGAAGAGTACCAGATCTTAACCCACGTTCCTGTCCACCTCCACTTTGCTGAGCTTCTAATCGAACCCTGGTTCGACGACTTACGTAGAGAGCACCAATTCCCTGAGGACCAGATATCTTGTGACCACTAATGGACATGAGATCAATCTGAAAGGAGTTCCACAAAAATATGTCCTTGAGTTTATCACATCACAACAATGTAATGCTTATGAAAAGTAACAAACCATTACACAGTGATATTTACGCTCACAAAATTAAGTGATTACTGAATATTAATGCATACAGTGCAAGCATGTCAGAAGAAACCTAGTTAAATTCAATGAGTTGGGAAAATCCTGGGATTTGGTAGTTAACTTCATAATTTATAGCTAGAGTGAACTTCGCCCCTGAATGCCCTGGTACGTCCGAGAGTGGGGAGAGTCCGCTATCCCTCTCGAAATACTCTCACACGGCCACGCGTATACAGCCTCTGCCAGGGAAGTCCTACTCATTGCCTTCTCGTGGCGGGGGTGTTGTTTACGAAAATGAGAGGACGAAAAGCGAATGTCCGGCGCTTTAACCGGATTCCAAATCAATGGTGCACATGGGCTCCAGTATCCTGCGGGTACGAATGGCGTATGAACCAATCGTTGGTCACCGGCTACCATGGGACTGCATCTCCTTACGATGCTCCACTGCCTTGTGGGTTAGACCTTTAGGTCAAAGGCTCGGGTAGTGGCCCCCTAAGATAACCACCTGCTTCGGTTTGGGCACCCGGGCAGTATCACAGCCCACACACAAATTGATGAACTCTCTATGTCTATGGAAATTACTTTTCTCGCTTCGAAAAACAATCAATTGATTCAGATTATTATCATTACAATTATTGTCATTATTAATACTAATATTATTACTACTACTATTATTGTCATTATTGTTATTATTATCATTATTATTATTATTTTCCACATTAGTCACCCTCTTTTATACTTATACAGCGGCTCGTCTTTGGTGGAAATCCGACTGTATCTAAACGTTCTCGAGTCACTGTCCGGTTGAAAATTGTATGTTACCACCGAATACGAGGACTGAAGCAGATTTTCTGAAACCACGTGCGCCATTCAAACTGGCTGCCTTCAACGTTCGCACATTTATGCAGGTCGGACAACAGATAGGGCTGGCTATGTCTTTGGAAAGTCTTAATATTGATGTTTGTTGTCTATCCGAGACCCGTATTCAAGACTCTGGCGAAGTACTACAAATTCGATCTCCATCTGTCGCTTCGTAAAGGCTCTTTACAACCCATTGAAGCCCGTCGGTCTACTCCGGGTGACCGTGAGTTTGACCATAAACGAAGGATGTTACGTGAGGAAATTGGGCAAAGCTTGCGTAAGGACCGAGAAGCCTGGTGGTCGATGCGTGCTAATGAGCTGAAAGCAGCAGCTGCATCTGGTAACTGCCGGAAGCTCTCTCCGAGTTGAGGATGTTAGACGACTCTCAGTGTTCGATCATCGCTGTCTCCGAAGGATTGCTGACATTCAGTGGCAACACCATGTCAGTATTGCAGAGGTTCGGCATCGTGTGTTCGGGCACAGAGATGATAATTCAATTGGTGTCACCATCTTGAAACACCGACTTCGGTGGCTTGGACATGTTCTCCGAATGTCGTCCCAGAGAATTCCACGTCGTGCATTATTTGCCGACTCTGGGACTGGTTGGAAGAAGCGGAGAGGTGGTCTGTGCATGATATGGTGTCGTGGCATGAAAGAAAGCTGCAAAGGACTGGCTTGTGTTGGTCCTTCACGACTCCCTGGTTGGGGTCGGAGAGATGGTGCTACACAGTGGCTAGAGACGTTATCAGATATGGCTCAGAATAGAAGCCAGTGGCGATCCTGCTGTAACCTTCTTTTACTTTCTTCATAAAAAGTGGTTGTGTCTCCTTTACCTGAAAGATTTCTTCTGATTGTACCTTTTCGTTCCGCCGTTACTACCACACTACCTTACTCCAATCTCTTCGTCATTGTTCTCTTTTTCTTTTGCGTTCCTTAGTTTTTTTTTCTTCTTTCTACTTCTCTTCGAATTCTCATTGTTCTGTGTGGCGCATATATATTGGCGCTCTCTTGTACCAATATTTATGTGTTCAAATAAATAAATAAATAAATAAGAGTGAAATTCATATATTGACTAAGTGACGATATTGATAACATGAAATATCCAAGTAAGACACTTAAATAATCGTTTGGACTGTGACACAAATGCTTATAAAATATTCTAAGTTAGACAGGTCATAATACCGCTTGGTGGACAGTCAGTTTTTGAAAATCACATCTATTAACTACTAAACCATTTTAGTTTTTCAACACATATAGTTTACTGATGACTTTATAATTGATAATTTCTATCAATAGACGCGGGTGTTGTGAGGGTTAAGTCAGTAATAGTAACAAGGTGTTGACAATAAATAGATCGAGAGTAATTTTACAAAAATGCCTTTTAGCAAGTTTTATTGTGAGGATAGGAAAATGGTTTGATCTTTGTACAAGGTAGCCTATCGGGATGATAAACACTTAGTGTGGAAGATGTAATCAAATCTACTTTATAGTAGACTACAGGACGTCTAATTGTATAGGATAGTTGTTAAAATTTCCAGTGTGCTAAATAGTAACAAAAGTGACTGTATTCAATGATATTACAGATCCAGCTACTAAACAAATATAAGGAGTTTGGGATAACACATATACTGATGGAGTTTCCTTCAATCTTAAAACCAGGGTCATTATGTATGGATGACTAATCATATTATTAGGCTCAAAACGAGACAAGTAGTTAACGAGAGGCAGTATAAAATATCTGGGGAATATTTAGAAAAACCAACCAAGTATAGCTTGATCTTTTGTAAGAAACTAGTTTACGATGAAATGTAATTACATTCTGTAAAGAAACACTGTCTCAATACAGACTACTGTGAATTACATCAATGTCAATAAATAAATTTATAACTGTGAAACGTAGGTTGACATGTAGTAACACATAAGTGATTACCAAAACTCATTATTGTCATCAAAGGGGAAATTTAAGGAGTGACACTGTACAGACATTTTGTGAGTAATTACAGACATCAGCATAAATATTTCAATTCAGTCTACAAACTAGCTGATGAATTCGCCACGACGAATTGAACTGATACACCAAATCACCGTGTATTCATATTAGTGAGTATGCCTTTCTTCTAAGAACGACAATGTATCTAAATTCATACTTCATTACGAAAAGTTCTTGTCGGACTAACTAGAAAACTACCAGACAACCTGAGGCATGTCTAGGGATAATATAGCTTATTAGTTCGAACATAAACTTACTGACAATAAAAAAACTCTTCAATGACCAAACCTCGCAATCTGGACACTTCGAGGGTACATAAAACTCACTACTTTTCAAATAACTACATGCTCCACGGATACGGAAAGTACCGTCAGGCTAGGGAGTACCAACAGAAACTGAAATTCTTCAATCCTAAGTCAAGAAAAGTGGTAAACTGGCTTTTTAAAACTATCTATTAAGTAATTAAAAACGAAAACGATGGCTAGCAGAAACTACTTTAGTCATGAATACCAGCTTATGTCAGAATGAACCGTTATGATTTCTGATTGGGTGTAGTCAGAATCGTCAAATAAAAAAGGAAACTAAAACATTTCGCATCCGTGCCTTAAAAGAAGCAGCAATGGTAAGATAGAAACCTACATTCATAGCATTGACGTCAATTGGCACTTTTCCGAAAGCTTGTGCAGCATCAGTATGGAAGAAAACCCCTCTACTTCGACGTAGTCTTCCAATTTCTTCAATGGGCTGTAGGACACCTATCTCATTATTAACAGCTATGACAGAGACTAAACTCGTTTCGGGTTTAATAGACTGTTCCAGAACCTATAATAGATCATAAAAGATAATGTTAGTACCTCCAAATCTAGAATTCCATTTTTCTGAACAGGTAAATACGCAACATCAAACCCGTTGTTTTCCAAAACTCTACAGGAATCCAAGACACATTTATGCTCTTAAAATACAAATAAAATTACTCTCTAATTCATTACGATTTGTGTAGTTATAATATGTTTCTTCTTTGGGTGGTAAAACTTAGCAACACCTTTTACAGCTAGGTTGTTACTTTCTGTCGCACCACTGGTGAAAATGATCTCCTTATGGTCAGCACCTATTTGATTGGCTACATTCTGAAAGAGTTTAAGAAGTTAGAAACAGAAAGTACCTCTCTAGCTTTCTCAACGGCTTCTTCGCAATACCAACCATACTCATGTGTGCGTGAATGAGAGTTACCAAAATGACTAATATAAAACGGCATCATGGCATCTAAGACGCGATGATCCTTTATTCAACAGTGAATCGCAACATAAAATTTACCAGTTGTGTAGACGCTTGAAAATCAAAATATAAAGGGCGTATAGGTTTACAACTACTTGGTTTATTCCCATCTTCTACCAAGACTAGGAAAACAGTAAAAGCATTAAAAACCAGTTACGTTCATCACGAACCACTTTGAACCGATAAGTTAACCTTCAAAATCTACAGATAGTCTATTTAAAAAGTGTAGGTAAGTCTCTGTCTCTTGAAAATAAGTTACACTATGGAAATTCTTCATACATCTTGCAACAACAACAAAAATTTAACTAAATGAACTCCTGTGACCAGTTGGTATGGGGTCCATCAGTCGAATGAACTGAGTTTACGGGCTGCAATTAAACGCAACTCAATTTCGTAAATGTGCCCTTCAGCTTAGTAATCAATCAGAATGAAGCGGGAATTGCTACGTCCGCCATCTTTGTAGGCAATGGCGGTCGGCTTTCTTCGTTCTGTGCTTCTTTCAGCTAATTCTTTTGTGTAGCTATGTAATTTAATGTCTCAGTGTGCTAAAATGCCGCAGTTAGTATAATGTTCAATATGTTGGTGTGAAGTTTATTTCAAATCAGCGATGTTTTCTGGGTTTTTGCTGCTTCTACTCAAGTCAATGTATTTCTTCGGGCAACCTGGCTAGTCTTGTGTTATAAAGTGTCGGCCGGCTTTCTTCGTTTTGTGTTTTTTCCGCCATTTCTTTTGTGTAGCTACGGAATTTGATGTTTTAGTGTGCTAAAATCCAGAAGTTAGTGTAATACTCTGAACGTTGGAGCAAAATTTTTCCTGAGTTTGCTGCTAATGAAGTCACTGTATTTATTCAGCTAAGCTGGCTAGTACTAACATAAGACCTTATGTTTTCAAACGACAATCGGTTATGTTTTATCTTGTTTTCTAGATATCCGAAGTCGAAGTTCTTTTTTATTTAGCTAAAATAATTGTTGCTGCCGCCTGTGACTCTAACTGTTCGCATGTTCGTTCCTAACTATCCTTTATGATGTTATCGGCAAAATGAAAGGAAACAATCTGCGTTTTTTAATTTTCTTCAGTATTATGGACAACACTATTCCACCAACGAGTCAAACTAATACAGAGTGCCCATCAGTAGGGTATATCGGTACTGATTTCGAAAGGACCCAGACTTCCGACAACTATAGGTGAAGTCACAGATGCTACCAATGTATTGCAGAGGGTTTGTTATGAAAAATATGCCATATAGCAGTAATAGAGGGGTTGTACTCATTACTCAGTGCGTTAAAGCAAGCTTAACATTGAAAAGCCGGAAATCTGCTGCCAGTGTCTAGTGTATGTTTGCTGTTTTGGCCATAAAAGGAAGCCGAAGAGTCATGATCAGGGAGTAAAATGGTAATTAACTGTTATTAAGCTCACTTTTTTATAGATTATATTTCACCACTCGCAAATTAGTGTTTTCTTACGGTATGATGTCAACTGGTACCTAATATGTTCACCCTTATGATGAAAAGTACCTGCAAATTTTCACCTTCATATTCGAATTATTTTTGGACAACTGTCTTACAGTCTGAGTGCTTCGTACACCCCGAGAAACTCTATTTCTACCACATTCGTAGTTCCATTATAACTTTCTCACGCAGTAAGTTCAAATTAGACACTAGTCTTTCTAAATAAGCCTGTTAAGCTAATATCCATATTCTCTATTTCAGTTAATCGATGAAGACATGTACCACGTGCATCTGCTCTATACTGCCATTTTACTCCAATCCTAACTGTTATATCTTACTTTGTAATAATAAAATTGCTATATGCTGCAAATACAGACTTATTTGTTTTGATGGAGGTAGGGGGGTTCATGGGATTTTCACTAAAGAGCTAAGAGAGTGCGTAAACCAGTGTAAGGTACCATACGAGGTGCATTTGATTTACTAGTGTTCCATTAGTGCGGGTAGGGGCATTGCTTGCTTGTCATATGGCATTTGAATTAGAAGCTATAAGATAAGAAGCAGGTATGGTTAGGATGTGCAACGCGTGTCCATCCATCAGTTGGCGTGACAATCCATGGTGGTTAGAATAAGCTATGAGAGGACCCGAGTCTGTAGGTCTCTCAAGGAAATGGCGAAGATATCCACCAAATCACCTTATGAAGAGCGCCTCCAATCACTTAACCTCTACTCATTACAGTACAGACGTCTTAGAGGTGACCTAATGGCTTACAATAACCTTAACACTTCTGGACATCCCCTAAAACACCTAATTAAGCTTAGTTCCAACACTAACCTAAGGGGTAACACCCAGAAACTAGAGACACAACATAGCAGAACGGACTGTAGGCAAAACTTCTCCTCCTTAAGAGTTGTCAAATGCTGGAATTTTCTGCCGGCCGAGCTAGTCCAAGCGACTTCCCAGGAGTCCTTTAAGAGGCAACTAGATTTATTCTTAAGGACTAAGTATAGTATCATACTATGATTTACCGATTTCTTTTTCCTCTTTTATTGTTAACATACCTAGTTTCCTGCCTTGAGGTATTGGTGATCCCCTGCTACTAGACACGGAAGCCTGTTAAGCGAAAGCTTCTTCTATTCCGTCCACAACCATTTGAACACATGAACTAGGTGCTGAGATGCTCGCTTATCACAAGTTTCTTGCAACGAATAAGTAGATAAAACAAAGTAGCATTAGATTCAAAAATTTATTCAAGAACTGTCATTAGGAACCGAATATCAAACAAAGTTTTAAACCAAGTTCCCGTTTAAAAGTTGCATTGGTAATGTTAAGCTGAAGTCTTTGTTGTTGTTTTTCCAAACGAAAGGGTAAAAGAAGTAACTCAAAAAGTACTGGAAGTGGTTGTGAGGCTAAAATGGAAGTCCAGCATCCTTTTTATAATCTGCTGTTAGTTGGGTCTCCCGTAAAGTTTCATAGGGCCATAGTTCTAGGGGCGAAACAGTTCTTAGGATCTGTGAAGGCTCACTCCTGTTGCATTCTAAATGAAACAAAGTAATGAATTTAGTCAGAAATGTGGAATAGATCAGTAACCAAATTACATGGTTTTTAGCAAACAATTTGTGCAGTTGTGATTTGCCTTGAGTTCATGAATATTAGATCAGGTCAGCTACTATTACTTGTGCAAAGCATCACATGGGCTTAGTGCCGCATCGCAATGCTTTTATTATTTTGCTCCCATTTAAGTATTTCCATGCATCTGCGTCTAGTTCAACAGGAAGACATACAAGCAGAGTTAGTGTCTGATAAACTAAAAGTCCAGGTTGTCAAAAGGATTCTTAACACTTATCCACAGCCAGCTGCATTTCATTGAGACACAGAACACTCGTCTTCTAAGACTGTATACTGCTGTTTTGCGGGCAAGTGAAAGCTCAGACACTTAGCTATCTTGCTACCGATGTTATTGCTGGGGAAATTGTTTAATGACAGTGACCATGAAATATGGTCAGTGATAGATGTACAGTTTAGAAATAAACACCAAACATACTTATCGCTATCTTATAATGTATGATAGCGCTATCTAAAAAGGACAGTGGTATTGTTTCTCGTTGAATTAGTAAATTGTTTTGATCGTAAATTAAGTATCAAAACTACGATTTACACTTTAATTGAATCTAATACAGTTAAAGTGATATTCTGTTGTTTTTTAGGCTTTTGTGTATTTATTACGTTCGAAGCATTCTTGGTCTGTGTCAAATTACTATCGTTAAGGTTTGAAATCTGGCTAAAGATTTTCGTGTGGTAACCTTTTATTCCTTGACTGACATTTGTGTTCATACTGTTATCATATTGTGTATTAAACTTTGATCAGACTAAAATGGTTGGTAGTACTCACTGTAGGGCCAGTGAAATGTCACTGAGCCCTAGCCAAATCATCCGGCAGTTGGATCACTGAATGTCGAACAGATCATCGCTCCCTGCCAAGGTCATGTACAAGCAACGCGCATTAGTTAATCATACGCCATGGACTGGCCCATGCGGCAGTGGTCTTACTTTCGCTTGTATCTACTTTAATTAATATATTTCTGTAATAACGTCCTTTGTGTTGTACAGTCTTCAAAGCATCTATAGTACCTTGTTACGTCAATGGGGGTAGTCCACGTAAGGTGCTGACCACGAGGTGTGACTTCGACGTTAGTTGGTTCGTCACACTATTCACGTCTAACTCGAGTAGGCCTCCAATCATTTCGACATAGATCATCTACGTTGGTGATCTACACTGGTGAGCAAGACTTCGAATAACACAACCTATCACTATAATCTTTATTATTGCATTCTATACTTATTCTTTTTCATTTTTATCATCGCCTATGTTAATCTATCACTGAACTTTCGTTGCTTCATGTCAATGTTGATTAGTATTTAAACTTAAATACTTAGTTCAATCGACAGAACTAACCAATCAGCTACGATTATAATCGGCTATCGCGGTTCTTTAACAAGCATTAGCAGCATGTAAATGCTCCTGTGTAATATGTCTGTTAAAATATCAACCACTCGTCAGTATAGCCACAAGGCAACACGAACGCACATCTGTTTGTAAC